ACATGCCTATGCCATGGGAACAAATTCGTGATTGCAAAGTAATTTTCAGCTTTAATTTTTCTACGCGTCCTTCTCATAATTGTGCAAAACGAGTTATCATCTATGCCGTTCATGTTCTCATTATAGCATCTTATGGTAAAATTGAATTCCCTCAATACTGAAGTTCCAGGTACTGTCCTTCAATAGTTGAGAAAATCTCGCAGAGTATTAGAAACTGAAATCCTTCGATACTTTAAGGTACTGTATCATATAACTGGTGCAATTTCATTCGTCAATGAAATACCGCGAGTGATTGAGCCTGTTTATATGGCACAATGGGGTACAATGTGGATTATGATGAGACGCGAGAAGAGAGATCGTCGGCATTTCAAGGTATTTTTATCAGTGTATTTCTCGCTTTTTTGAATTCGATTGCAGGATTTGCTTCATTTGAAATGAGTTCCATTCAGTGGCGTTGTATTGTGTTGAGAAGTTCATTGATTCATTGAAATCAAAACGGCATTCAGTTGAAAATGTTCAACCTTGTAAAACGTTTAGCGTATGCGATTTCCACCATTCGACGACGAAGAACCGCCGTTGGATTACGCGGATAATATATTGGATGTGGAACCACTGGAACCGATTCAGATCGATTTAGATCCGGAAGAAGATAGAACCGTTAGTGAATGGTTTTACGACCATAAACCACTAGCATCCACTCGGTTCGTTGATCAATTTTTCCTGTTGAATTACTCTCTCTTGTTTGACGTTTCAGTGTGATTTTGATACCGTTGAGGAGGAAAGTTTGAAATGATCGTCTTGTCGATTAGCTGAGATATTAATGAAGGATAATGAAGAGTCGTATGAAATACTGAATTCGTTNACTGCTAAGGCGCTGAATGTGGCCATTCCGGGCGGACCGAAATTCGAACCGCTCATGAAGGATCTGAATACAATGTCAGTGGATGAGTCATAGTTCTTCCTTTGTTTTGAACTTATTTATTAGTTTGATCAAGGGGAATATTCATTGAAATATGATAATAACATAATTTGTGTTTAGTTGTTGTAGTTATATGCAAAGTAGCAGTTACATTTTTTAAATATTATTTCTCGTGTAGTTTGATTATAATTGAAGTACAATTGGTCAATTTGTGATTGTGTTTTTGTTTGATTCGTGAATCATTTAATGATTGTCGAAAGCCATCAAAGAATACAATTACCAAGGTGATGATCAAAATATTTGTTCGATTGTTTATACTTATAACAAAGTGGAAATATGATCTTTGCAGTGATGAAGATTGGAATGAATTCAACGACATCAACAAAGTGATAATTCGGGCTCCAATTCGTACCGAGTATCGAATTGCGTTCCCATTCATGTACAACAATCTTGTTAACGCATTACCAGTACAAGTCTCGTGGTACATACTTTTCTTCTCCTTCAGAATTTATATCTCATTTATACCACTTTCAGAGTCCACTTGTGATTGAGTGACATTTCCTAGATATGTCTTGTGATTCCAGTTTTTTACTATTTACGCACCTCAAAATACTTGGGAAATCATCTGTTTCAAACCTCGAATAACCATTCTAGTTTAACGACGTCAGTTAAATTATTCCGTATTTAGGTACCACACACCATCAGTTGTGTTCATAAAAACCGAAGATCCCGATTTGCCGGCGTTCTATTTCGATCCACTTATCAACCCTATTGCACAGAGATCATCTGATAAGGTCATTTTTACAATCGATTATTTCTGAGCTTTTAGTATGCTTTTGCTTTTAAAAACGATTTCGTTTTCATGTGCAAATTATCTGAAAATTTGT